GGGGCGGTCAGGAGGGGCCGGAGCTGAGAAGGCCAGTGAGGGAGAAAACCCGGAGAAGGAGGTGCCGGGCAGGAGAGGACGCGGCTTTGAGAAGAGGCCGCCTGTCAGCTGCAGCCCCGAGGGTGAGTTAGAGGGGGACGGGCAGTCGCCCCTTGCAGCCGGCGGCGGCACTGACGTCTCGGTTGGCCCTGGGAAGAGTGTTTTCAGGGACGGAGGGGGCAAGCGGGGTGCGGCGGGGGGCCGGGCCGGGGCAGGCGAGGAGGTGGGCGCACTGGCGCAGAGACTCGAGAAGTTTAGCCCGGAGACGGGCACGTGGGAGCCGGAGCCGGCGGCCTGAGGGACGCGGGAAGGCGTTTTTGTCCCGGGTGACGGTGGCGATGTGGAGACAGCCGAGGCCAGGTGGCCCCCGGGGACGGGGAGGGGCTGTGGACACCTGTGTGACCGAAGTCCCCTGGGGTCGGGGCTGCTCACTCAAGGCAGGTCATGGCCAGTTGGTTCTCTCGGGCGGCGCCTGGGGAAGTCAAATAGGCCTCCTGGATTTATCTGACGGAGGCGGAAGAAAGGGAAGCATTAAAGATCACATCAGTGTTGGTGATGTGAAGACAGAGAAGATGGCAGCGCCAGCAACAGAAGTTGGGGGGTCTGCTTTTGGTGAATCCATCTGGTTTCAGTTATGATGATTTTGGGGTTTATGGTTAGGTCTAAAAAAGTGAAGGTCAAGAGGCAGGTGAAAATGGAGAGAGAAGTGGAATGTTGTGGCTGGAAACACACGCTTTCTGCAGAACTACCTGAAAACTTGGTGATGGGAAGAAGAGCCGAGACCGAGCAGAGACGTGGAGGTTCTCCTAAGTGGACAGTGGGAGAAGCAAGGGAACAGGAGATCTGGAAACAAAGCAGTCCTTCAGTGCGGGTGCCGATGGCGTTGATATAGTAACCTCGGAAAGGTGCATGACCCTTTGACTTCAGGAATTTCTTACAATTACTAGGAAATAATCATGGATGGGTGCAAAATTAGTTATAGTGATATTCACTGTGGCAGGATTTGTAAAAATGATATTCTGGAACCAAGTGGAGATTGGTCTGGTAAATTACACATGGAATACTACTCAGCCACTAAAAATGCAGAACATTATGAAATAATGTATGCGTTCATGAGCTATTAAGTAACAAAAACAGGTTATGAAACTGTTATCCATCATGATTCTGTTTTTAAACTTAATAGCTTTGTTGAGGTATAATTCGCATACCATGCAATTCACTCTTTAAAAGGTACAGTTCAGTGATTTTTAGATATATGAAAGATATGTGCAAACATCACTAGAGTCTATTTTAGAACATTTTCATCACCTCAGAAAGAAATGCTGTGCCTTTAGCTATCGACCCGTCTGTCCCTACAACCCTCCCCCTGCCCTCCTCAGCTTATGTAACCACGAATCTTTCTGTCTCTAGATTTAATGAATGGAATCATATAGTGTGATCTTTTATGTCTGACTTCTTTTGGTTAGCATGGTGTTTTCAAGGTTCGCCTGTGTTGTAGCAGATACCAGTCCTTTATTTGTTTTTGTGGTTGAATAATGCTTTATCGTGGGGTATACCACATTTTGTTTATTCATTTATCAGCTGATGGACATTTGGTTGTTTTGAACTTTTGGCTGTTATAGACGAGTGAAATTGCTGGGTCATATGAAAGGTGTGCTTAATCACTTGAGAAACTGTCAGGTTCTTTCCCACAATAGCGACACCATTTTACATTTCCACCAGCAGTGTGGGAGGGTTCCGGTTTCTCCACATCCTAGCTAACACCTGTTATTATTGGACTTTTTACTTCTAGCCATTCTAGTGGATGTAAAGTGGTATCTCATTATGGTTTTGATTTACATTTCCCTGATGATGAATGATGTTGACAATCTTTGCCCGTGCTTACTAGCCAGTTGTCTATCTTCTTTGGAGAAATATTTATTCAAGTCCTTTGCCTGTTTTTTTTTTTTTAATTTATCTCTTTATTAAGTTGTATATCATGATTCTATTTTTGTAGACAAAAGTCTGAAAAGGTGAAATGATAGTGTGGTTGACAACTGTTGCCTCTGTACAGTGAATTACATGTTGATTTAATTATTTACTTTTTGCTTCCTTGTATCTCCTAAATGTTTTATAATGAACATAGGGGTAATAAGATAAATTTTATGAAGAATAGGAAAAGGGCCAATGAAAGCTACAGGTGCGCTCAGAGGGGCCAGAGAGCCAGGCTGCTGCAATGGCAGGCAGCAGGGACTGGAAACCTTATCACAGCAGGAATCATTTCACCAGACATCCTCCTGGACTCTTCTGCAGCCTTGAAACATCCCGGAGAGGGGAAGGTTGGTGACAGAAACAGCAGGTGCGATTCTATGTGAAGAAAGAGGAATGGGGTCAGCAATGTAGAGAGTCCTAATCATTCAGATCAGTGGGAGACAGTGTTCACCCCAGTTAAGAAAAATAACCTCAGTCTTCTGTCAGTATCCCTTCCTTGGGGTACCCATTCTGCCCCCACTCAAGGCAGTGTCAATGGGGCTGTTAATGGCAGTGCCCTGTTCCTCCGTTCCCCAACATCGTCTCCCTCTCCCCAGCCCGGGAGGGTGGGCATGTGACCAAGCATATCTAGAAATAGACATAGAAACAAAACATTTCCAGGGATGAACATGAGACACAATCAGAGATTGTCAGAGTGCTGTTAGGAGATGTGACAAATGGACACTGGGGTTAGAGGAGGGTTTCTCTCTTCCTTCTAAATCATATGCCATAAGCATGTTGGTTTGGGAACACCAGTGGCTACTTTCTCACCATGTGGACACATCCTGTCTGAGAATCATACACAAGACAGCAGTGGAAAGACAGAGCCCTGATGATGTGATTTGTGTTCCTGGATCCAACCATGCCTGACACTGGTATATACTTTGGAGTTTCCAGTTATGTGAACTAATTAATTAATTAATTAATTTTGCTTAAGCTTATTTTTTTTTAAAGATTTTATTTATTTGTTTGAGAGAGAGAGAATGAGAGAGAGCACATGAGAGGGGGGAGGGTCAGAGGGAGAAGCAGACTCCCTGCTGAGCAGGGAGCCCGATGCGGGACTCGATCCAGGGACTCCAGGATCATGACCTGAGCTGAAGGCAGTCGCTTAACCAACTGAGCCACCCAGGCGCCCTTTGCTTAAGCTTATTAAAGGTGTATTTCTTACTTGCAATGGAAAAGGTCCTAACTAACCCAGGTCCCTTCCAGTCCTATGATTTGGTCATCCTAAGCCAAGAGAAGAGATTGCTCTGAAATGAGTTAGGGTATAAGCCACTTGTAGACTGTAAAAGATTGGAGGAGAAAAGACCATGGCTAGAAAGTAACATGGTCAAATGATAGATTTTTTTCAGGTAGGGCGATCTATCCAGGTTGGATGGCAGAGCAGGAAAAAAGATGGTGGAGAAAGAGCAACGAAGATGGTGGAGAAAGAGCAACGAACATGGTGGACTGCGATAGGCTAGAGAACACTCTGTCTGAGGAAGAAATGAAGGCAAGACATTCAAGGTAAATACACATGGGTTAATCCTGGAAATGTCAGGATGTCCCCTCCCCCAGCCTGAGGAGAATAAAGCACCTGAGCCTGTAGGGAGGGAAAAGGGAGAAGAGGCTGTGAACTCAGGATAATGGGCTGGGGGTTCCCTGGTGGTCTACAGCCTTTTGGACCCTCACAAGCAGCCCCCGGATGGGGTCAGACCAAAGACTCCTTGCTGGCCCCACGTTTAGGCAGTGGTCACAGTCTCACCTGTCTCTGACCCCCTTTCCTGGAGCGTGGAGGGAGAGAAGAGCTGACAGTGAGGTGGGTTTTGCCTGGCGGGGCGGGCACTCTGTGCCTGTGTGCATTCTCGAACTGCACAGCCCCAGCCGCGGGGCATCCTGGAAGACCTTTCTACGGTGAATTGACTCACACAGACTCCTCCCTGATGCCCGGGGCAGGAGCTGCAGAGCCGCCAGGAGATGGGCTCCAGTGAGGCGGCCCACCAGCTCTTCACTGCCTCCCCACCACAAGGCCAGGGCCAGATACTGAGCCCTTCCTGACAGCGACAGTGTGACAGGTGCCCTCCTTTCCCGGCCCCTCCTCTAGCTGCCAGTTTCCTGGCTGCTTAGGCTGCGTGCTATGGTGGGATGCGGGCAGGCCCAGCAAACTGACAACTGAAAACCACTACTCTGCTGGGCAATGTCCCCGGTCAAGGTGAAGGGCAGCCTGGTGCTGCTAGACGCTGCCAGGCGGCCGCAGGCACACCCTCCTCCCTCCTCCCACACCCTGGGCGCCACAGAGTCTCGTTCATGCCGGCGGGCCAGGTGGCAGCCAGGTGAATGTCATGCTCAGCGCCCGGAAAACGGTAGAGGCTTCTTTGGCCCAGCAGGAACAGCAGTCTGCAGTTAGGGCCTTGCCTCTGTTCCTGAAGCTGGGGTCCTGGCCGGGGCCTCTCCAGGGCGGGGGGCTGGGCAAACGGTGAGGCCTGGCCGGGAGGTCAACCACTTTCTGTCCCAGTGGTACTTTCTCAAAGGTATGTCAGCCTGGTCTTTAGGGTACCGGGAATACCACGCCTCTTAGCGACCAGCTCTGGCCAGCGGAGCTTACTGCATGAGACAGACTCGGAGGGATGCTGCCCCGTGTGGGTCTGGCGGACGGCTAGAAAGAACGTGAGGCCATCCGGGAGGAAGGACCAGGGGCCATGGTGCAGCCCCAGCAGCCCTCCCCCCTCACTGAACAGAAGGAGGAGGCTGCCGGGGAGGAACATGGTGGTTTCCCCCTGAGCCTCTGCCAGGAGGAGAAAGCCGTCAAGTAGGAGACAGAACGTAAGAACACACACGACAACTGGGCGAAGGACTGGGTACCTTCTGAGGCCTGAACTACAGCAAGGAGTGGATGGCTTCCTCCTCACTCAGACTTCGGGACCCCCCAGATCAGAGTTGACTGGCCCACATATGGAGGCGGGAGAGCGAGGTTCTTGTCTCACACGGACAAAGGCGAGTGAGGAAAGCGATGGAGTTTTATGAAGCAAGGATACAGAAAAAGCTCTCAGGAGTGAGAGGGGTCCTGACAGCCAACGTGGGCCTCCACCGACAAGTCTTTTATTTAGAGCTGACCAGGGAGCTTGTGGCCTTAACATTCTTGTGACGTCTTGGTTTGAGTAAGGACTGGTGAGGCCATCTTTAATGGCTTCTTTCTTCTTTGGGGTCTGGTTATTCTTTGTTGGTCACAGGTGACTGTCATGAAACAAGACCCCCCTTCTGACGCCTGGGGCAGAGTGGTCTGGTTTGTTCCCTCGTCTCTGGTTCCCTTACACCTCTGCATTTGGGGGATTTCTGTGAGCCTGATCATGTACGTAGCCCCCTGTCTCTCTCTCCCTACCTAGCCCCACCTGTCCCTTACTCAGTACCTTTCTTGAGCTCCAGACGCATTTGTCCACCTGCTGCCCGGACATCTCCACACGAGACTGTCCAGAGCGGCCCTCACCATCTTTCATGCAACTCTGCCCCTCAGTTGGGCACGTCGCCGCAGCCACGAGCCTGTGAGGCACCCTCTTCCTCATCCTTATCTTCTAGAAATCGTACAGCACTAGGAGTGGTCAATATTAAGTCCTGAATGCCTCACAAGTTCTGCAGCTCCTCGCTCTAGGTTCTGGGTTTGAATCCAGCTCGGCCATGTGCTTGTGGTACGATCTTGGGCAAGTGACTCTCTCCTGTCTCTGTTTCTGCATCTGCAAAATCAGGATAATGAGCACACGCCTCCTACCCGGCTTCTGAGGACTGAGTTTAGTACTCACGTAGCATCTAGAGCAGGGCCGGTCCAAAGCAGGCGCTAAGTCAGCAGTAGCTGCCTTGAGGATGGTATTAAGCCCTCAGGATGGCTTTCAAAACTCCCCTCCCGGCCCCCTCCGCGTGTCCACACACTGACGCACGGGGCCCGCACCTCGTCGTTCTCTCAGCGCGCCAAGCTCCGACGAGCCCCTGGGACTCCTGCCTGGATGGCCTACAGCGAATTCCCTCTCCCGCCGGCAGGGGGCGCCTGGGGGTGGCGGAGGGAGCCAACAGGGGTGCACCTCCCGAGGGGCCCGTCGCGTCCGTGAGTGCCTTACTTCCAGAGTCACCCTGTGAGGCTGGTCTTCTCTTTGCCTCACTTTCTGGGCAGGAAGCTGAAGCTCAGTGATTCTCAGAATCAAACAGCTAGTAGTGGAGCTGGACTTAAGTCCAGGGGTGGCCATCCCAGCCCTGTGTAGTTCCACTGTGTGCAAACCTCTCCTGTCATTTAAGAGGGAAAAATAGAGGTCTTTGAGAGAGAAAGGACAGTAAGAGGATGTGGAAACAGTTCCCCCAGTGGTGGCTTTGCAATGTGTGGATTAGTGAAGCCGAAACATGTTTCCAGGACTAATGAATTTGAGTTGTTCTCAAGGGAAAGTGGTCAGAGTTGCAAGGGGCAGCGAAGTGGCAGCCACGTTTACACCAGGAAGGTCAGCACAGGGGCTGTTGCAGCTCACCTTGCTGTGGGGGGTGGGGGCCATCCCCCTGCACCGCCCTCTTCAGCTTCTAAGTGTCTGGGTTCAGCCTGGAGGGCTCCACCGCGAACTGTGCGCGCCTGTCCTGAGGTCAGCCACCTTGTGGAAGATGGAGGATTCCACCGTTTCCTCCTGGGCTCCCGCTTTGTCTGCTTTCCCTTCCCTGCTGACTCAGGGACAGTGTGCAAGGTCGTATCCTCTGGCAATCTGGGTGTGTCACTCTGTGGTCCTTCCCTGATCGACCCCTAAAGGTATGGAGAGTTAGTTCAATGGATGTTGGGTTAAAGGAGTAAACAAGTGATTGAATAAATATTTTAGTTGCTTTGGGCTTTATTTATTTTTTTTAAGATTTTGTCAGAGAGAGAGACAGAGCACAAACAGGGGGAGCAGCAGGCTGAGGGAGAAACAGATTCCCCACGAAGCAGGGAGCCTGATGCAGGACTCCATCCCTGGGCTCTGGGATCATGACCAGAGCCAAAGGCAGACGCTTCACGACTGAGCCACCAGGCATCCTTGCTTTGGGCTTTCAATTTCGGAACTAAAATTGAGGGGACTCATGTTTTCCAACCTTCCCTAAAGGACAGATTAATGTGTATTACAGCATGTTCCCTGAAAGATCCCCCATGATCACAGTTTTTTAAAGTAACATAGATGGCTCACAGTGCAGTGATTAATCCACAATCAATATTAATTGATGGTAACGGGGTTGTGAATTTTTATGTGGCTTTGTGACTTTGTTTTACAATGTTGGCCGTCATACACCCCCCTCCTTGGGAGGGACTAGGAGATCCTGACAGGAATCAGATGTGCGGCCATCAGACTGCTGCCTCGTGGGGGCCCTGTGGTGCTGGGCCACGGACGAATGTGAGATGGAAGAATGGCTGGCTGGGCAGCAACCACTCCTATCAGGAAATCTAAGCCAACGTTATGTCCAACTGAAAAAGCTAGCCAAGAAAACAAAAGCAGGTGCAGTGTTACAGTCTGAAATGAATACTGGTGTAGAGTCAAGGGATTGCTCAAAATGGCGGAGAAATTCAAGCTTGAGTTCCCTATCCTATAGGTCTAATTTGATCTTCCAAACATGAGACAACCAAGAGGAACAAATTTGACCTCCTTCAATGAATGTAGCTTTTGAAGTCTTTCCACTGAGTTATCCTTGAGCCCTGGAGTTCAGGATTCTCGCTTTTCTTTGGAGGCCATGATGAGGGAAGGGTCTGCCCATTCTGGGGTGGAAAGCTGAAGAGCAGGTATGCCGGGAGGGAGGCTGCCTGGGTATGCATCCTGGTTTCCAAAGATACAGTCTTTGGAGTCAGACCTCTCCCTAAATCCTGGCTTTGCGGCTGGCTGGCTGATCTGGAGCAAGTTCCTTACCCTTTCTGTAATTCAGTGTTCTCCTCCATGAAGTGGACATGGAGGCCTAGTGGCAGCCAGGCTGATCATGCTGTTTTCCTTTGCTTCATTATGGTAGTGACATATAAGCACTTTCCATATTCCCAAAACAAAACTAGGTCCTTGTTCACATCCATCTTCAATCTTTTCAGTCTTCTTAGGAAGACCACAATCTAGCTTTATAGGTTTCAGACCTTTGTTCAACTGCAGGCCTCACTACGGTATCCAAAATCTTCTTAAAAGAACATGAACAAAAAGTTGGCTATTTCATGCCAAACACAACGTAATGTTTTGGAGAAAACAAACAAGCAAAAAAGGTAAAAGATATAAAATCTTAATTTCCTTTAATATAAGTAGACTAGAAAGATCTGTGAATCTACTTTGAAACATTTATCTTTTCATGTTAAAAAACTGTAGCGACTTTCCAATTTCATTTTCTATTACATTATTGCAATCTCTTCCAGGTCTTGTGTAATTTCCAGACTGCACTATGGCTCCAGGCAGCTTTGTATGACACAAACCAGTGTGGCCAGTCACAGAGGCTTTCCAAAAGCTCACCCGCTCTTCCCCGGTGTATATGCTGCCCCAGAGCCGCCAAGATGAGAACCCATGGAGGCTGGCAGTTGAGAAAGGTTGCCCAAGGGCCGTGTGCCCCTCGGCCTTTTCTCCAGGGGTGATACTAACATTTGGGCAGATGCCTGGCTTTAGCCAAGAGCCTCATCCAAGAACATCATGATCTCAATGCCTGCCGGCTCACTCTGGGACTGACCCCGCAGGAGCCTCCTGGGCCGCAGTGGGGACGGGCACAGAGTACTTCCTGACACCCTGGACCTTCCCTCTTTCCCAGTCCTGAGGATGGACGAGGGAGGAGGAGCAGAGTTGGGCCTCAGGCCACCCTGGGTTTGTATCCCAGGTGTAGTCCATGCTGTCTGGGTGAGTTAAACTGCTCAGAGCCTCAGTTTCCTCAAATATAAAATGGGAGTGCCTCTGACTTTGATGTGTGTATTGGGTGCCAGGCAGGCGGGGCTCCAGCAGTGACAGCCTCACTTGGATGAGGGGACAGCAACCAGGGCGTGGAGTTAGCCAAGTGCTGGGGGAAGATGGTATGGGGCCTCTGGGGGGCCCCTAGCACCCCCCAGAGGCCAGCCCCCCTCCCCGCCCCCCCGGGGCGCTCCCTGTTTGGAGTGGGGACAGGAGCACGGACCAGCTACATGGCAGAGGAACGAAACTGACCACGGAGTGTGTGGCACCTTTTTATTCAGTCTTTATTTAAATGTGTGTTTTGAAATAGCTTATTAAATAGGACCTTCTCAAATTTCGACTCACAATATTTACAGTGAATTTTGTGCAAACATATTTTGACTGTGAGCGTCTGGCTCTCCCCCTTTCCTGTTAATAATTTACAAATTTGTATCACACAAAACCCCAACTACTTCATTTATTGCCTTTTAGGCTCCCGTTCTCTGTTTGACAGGTACTGAACTAGAATAAGGACTTGCTAGCAAAGAATTTATTCAAGGAGTGCCTGGGTGGCTCAGACGGTTAAGCGTCTGCCTTCAGCTCAGATCATGATCCCGGGGTCCTGGGATCAAGTCCCCTGTTGGGCTCCCTGTTCAGTGGGGAGCCTGCATCTCTCTCTCCCTCTGCCTGCCACTCCCCCTGCTTGTGTTCTCTCTCTGTCAAATAAGTAAATAAAATATTTTTTTAAAAAAAGAACTAATTCAAGCCCAGAGGAAATAAAATGCTTTATTTATCAAAAAAGAATTACAACAAGGCCTTGCTTTCCAAATGGAAACATGTGTCCTAGGATGTTGTGGAACAGTGTTAGCAACCAAATAAACGTCCAATGGTTACTGAGCCTTTTCTCTCTCTCTTTAAATATTTACAGTCTTCTCTTCTAGTCAAATAAGCAAAACCAGAAAAGCCAAATTCTAAGAGACTCTGGGCTGTCAGGAAACATTATTAAAAATAATCTGACTTCAGTGAGTAAAGAATGAAGGTCATCAGTGGGCTGTGGGCTGACCCTCCACACTGGCATTGGCCAGAACTGCTATAAGGGGTCCCACAGGGCCCACTCCATCCGCCTCAGGAGTCCACGCTGGGCCCCTGCCGAGAGGGGTGAAGGCCTGTCAGCTAATTCTTCAGATACAAAATCTACAGAGGGACTGATCCTGGAGAAGGACCCCTGGAGAGGCATCCTTCCCTCTCTGGTGGAGAAATACCTGGTTGAAGAACACAGCACACAATACTGTATAAAGTGAGGGTCCTTACAGAGGCCACAACTCACGATTTGGAAACAGAATTCTGAAAAAATACAGATTAATCGTTACACCCTTAATGGCTTATAAATATAACTTTAAAATTTCATTTTATACATTTGATGTCTGAGAACAAACCATAACCTTTTTTGTTGTTTTTGGTTCATGCCTTTTTTTAAAGAACACAATTAAGTCCTTAATGCAAAAGAATACTTGAGACCACATTTTTGTAGCTTTTCTACCTTTTCGCTGAAAGCTTTGATGGGACGTTAGAGTGGCAGCTAATTAGAAAATAAACTGAAAAGATAACTTCGAGTCCTTTGAGAAGTTTTTCACACATTTAATCATTTGCCCTTCCAATGGCAATGTTCCCTTATTTATAAAAGTGGGCTAACCCTCTGGACCCACGATTTTGTACACACGAGGCATCCCAATGCAATGATTCCTAACCTAAAACACACTTTCACCACAAAAGAATTTTCCCATGATGACAGGAATGAAATATTCCAATCATTCCCTGACGCTTCAGGAGTCAGAGCGAAACACCGGTGTTTACTGCTAGAGCTGTGGTCCTTCACCATCTGTTCCAAGTTCTCAAGTGAGCAGGTCATACCCGTGGGTCCCCTCTGTCCCCGTGACCCCTGCTGACCTGTCCTACTTTGGCCAAGCCGTTCCCAGCTACCCGGGCCGCAGGGGGTGCGCCAGGAGTGGGGTGCGGAGGAGAGCCGCTGGGATGGAGCGCGGGACGGTGCATGGAGAGAGGGTTGTGCTTCCCTAGGAACTTAGTTACGGTCAAAACAGGCGGGCCGGGAACAAGGACGTGTGACGACTGAAAACATGGGCCTTGTTTTGCCAGAGCTTTCAGCGCCGTGAGAAATCCGTTATGTCCAGGTGCAGATAGATGGAATGGTTTTGCACCTCTCGCCCCGACCCCCAGTTCTCCTCGGAGAACTTAACCTTGAGGGCTCAGGGACGCCTGTCATTTGGGCTTCTGCTTAGGGGGCCTGTGGTGACCCAGGGCTTGGGTCTGCAAGCCCACAGCCCTGCTGCCTTTGGTCAACCAAGGGTTAAAACTGTTTTTATCCATGTCTAGTACAGTGGCTCTGATTTCACATAAATCATCACAGACTTGATTCAAATGAATGCATTATTCTAGGTTAATCATTTTTCATTCAAATGTTTATATTCCGTCTACCCTGAACAATGAATTGAGAAAAACCGGGCACCTCCTCCAAAGCCTTCCCAAGGACAATGACTTTCTGAAATGACACTTTCTGTACAAACTGAACAAATGAGACGGTGACTGTGGTGGGAGGGTGGCTGAGACCGTCAGGGGGTGGCTTTCTTCAAGTCCCGGATCTGCTTGATCAGGTAGTTCTTCTCATCGCTGAACTGCTCATCGTCCGTCCTTTCCTTTTGGAAGCTGCTCAGAAACTCAATGAGTTTGGGTTGATTTTTTAGTAGAATCTCCACAATAGGCTGCGTTTTGTGAGGACTGGCCACAAACACCTGAAACGTAAAGAAACAAATACGTCAGACAGGGAACGCACACCAGGGATGACACAGACCCTTCTCGGGGTCCCTGTGCTACTCGTGTTGGTAAAATGCAGAAGCCCCACATTATGCTTCCCTAATTGAGGGAAATCCATAATTCCCCATCCAGAGCCGTGTTCTGGAGAGCTAGCCGGGAGCTCGTCAGAGCTATCTGGGAACAGTTTTTACTTTGTTTTGATTTTAAATGTCTTAAATGTTTGTATGTTCTTAACTACACAGTCTTTCCAACAGAAAAGAACATAACAGATACCAATATACCCACCAACAACTTGAGCAGATTTTGCCATTTTACTTCAAATCTCTTTTTAAAGGAATAAAACACTACAAATAGATGCAAACTCTCACTTTCCATCTGTCCCCACCCCCTTGAGCAGTGTGCTTCCATCCCCAAGCGTGTTTTTATCCTTTTCCTCCTACGACATAGATATGCACATAAACATAAACAACATGTAGTATTCGAGTGTGCTTTTTTTTTTATAATTTAGTTTTTGAACAGGTAATATATTCATCTGGCTACAAAATTCAAAAAAGACAAAGGTGAAGAGTTCCCCTCTCATCTTCCCTCCCTGGAGGTCATCAATGATATTCTTTCCTTATGTATGTGGAGCTTTAAAATTTACAATTTCCCAGGCTCCAGCTCCCAGAGATTCCAGCTCAGCAGATCTGGGGTAGAGGTCTGGCATTCTGTATTTTTATAAAGTTCCACAAAGATTCTTATGTGCACTCCTGTTGAAACTACAATCCTAGGCTAGTGACTCAGCTGTTCTATAAAAGACAGCAATGACTATCATAATAGGACACAATAACTCAAAACTATAATACTGATTGCTGTAATATTTCTCAATGGACACACTTCCCAGTTAGATGATACATATATGACGACGTGAGAATACCCATAAAAGTGTGTGACTCCCATACAACGCTATGGCTTCACGTTCTGGGTGCCTCACTCCTCCAAAGAGCTGAGTGCTTTACCACCAGGCCCCCTGCCCCATCCCATACTTCCAACAATGCATCCTCTAAACACACTATGGACAAGGATCGGTTATGGGAATAAGTGGAGGCTATAAGGTTGAGCCCTCAAGGTTTCTCCAGCCCAGCAATCATGAAGAAAGAAAAAAATATACAAAGATGTTAAGGCCCTATGAGAGGGGAAGGAAAGGCTGTGGACGTTCAAAGGAAGTGAACATGACATTAGATTCCTGGGTTTATTGTGTGACAGGCGAGCTCGTCCATGAATCAGATTTTTCTATTTCTTCTTGAGTCAGTTTGGTAGTTTGTCCATTTCATTTACATTATCTGATTTATTGGTTAGATTACACTACAATTATTCATAGTATTCTCTTAATGATTTTTTAAAATTTCTATGAGGGGATTGAATTGGTCATCAAAAACCTCCCAACAAAGAAAAGCCCAGGAAAATGACTTCACTGGTAAATTCTACAAACTTTTAAAGAAGAATTAACACCAGTCCACTTCAAATTCTTCCCAAAAAATAAAAGAGAAGGGAACACTTCCTAATTCACTCTATGAAGCTGGCCTTACCCTGATGCCAAAGCCAGACAAAGACATGACAAGAGAACTACAGACCAACATCCTTTATGAATAAAGATGTAAAAATCCTCCATAAGATACAAGCAACCTGAGTCTAGCATCCTATTAAAACAATTATATGCCATCAACAAGTGGAATTTATGCTAGAAATATAAAGGAGGTTCAACATAATAAAATCAATGTCATACACCACATGCATGGGGTTGAACTGTGTCCCCTCAAAATATGAATGTTTAATTCCTAACCCTCAGTACTTATAAATGTGACATTACAGACATAATCAAATCCAGATGAGGTCATACTGGATTAGGGTGGGTTCTAATCCTATGACTAGTATCCTTATAAGAAGAAGAAAATTAGGACAAAAAGACACATAGGGATCCACAGAGGAAAATACTATGTAAAGATGATGACAGATATTGCAGTTATGCATCTATAAGCCAAGGAATGCCAAGGATCACTGGCAATCACCAGAAGCTAGGAGACAAGCATAGGACAGATTATCCGGGTGAACCTTTCCAAAAGGACCCACCCCTGCTGACACCTTGACTGTGGATTTCTAGTCTCCAGAACTGTGAGACAATAAACTTCTGTTGTCTTAAGTCATTCAGTCTATGGTACTTTGTTATGGCAGCTCTAGGCAACTAATATACCACATTAATACAATGAAGAAAAGCCACATAATCACTTCAATTGAAGCAGAAAAAGTATTTGACAAGAGAATGAAGTTGGGCCCCTATCTCACACTGTAAACAAAAATTCACTCAAAATCAATCAAAGACCTTAATATAAGAGCTAATAAAACTTTTAAAGGAAAATATAGGGATCTATATTCGTGACCTTGGATTTGGCGATGGTTTCTTAGCTATGACACCAAAAGCATGAGCAACAAAAGAAAAAACAGATAAACTGAACATCAAAATGTAAAACTTTTGTGTATCAAAGGACATTATCAAGAGAGTGAAAAGACAACACACAGCATGGGAGAAATTATTTGTGAATCATATGTATGATCAATATCTAGTATCCAGAATATATAGAGACCTCTTACAATTCAACAACGAAAAAACAAGGTTTTTTTAAAAGGGGCAAAGGACTTGAACAGACATTTCTCCAAAGAAGATATATATATGGCCAATAAGCATGTGAAAAAATGCTCAACATCATTAGTCATTAGGAAAATGCAAATCAAAACCATAATGGAATATCACCTCACACGCACTAGGATGGCTCCAATAAAAAACCCTGAAAACAACACGTGTTGGTAAGGAAGGGGAGAAACTGAACCCTGTACAATGCTGGTGGGCATGTAAAATGGTGCACCCTCTGTGGTAAACAGTTTGGCAGTACCTCAATAAGTTACACATTTAATTACCGTAAGACTGAGAATTCCATTCTGAAGTATATATCAAAAGAATTGAAAAACTCTGTTCAAATAAGAACTTGTAGACAAATGTTCCTAGCAGCACTGTTCACAATAGCCAAAAGTCCATCAACTGATGAACAATTGTATTCCATACAATGGAATACTATTCAGCCATAAAACTGAATGAAATATTGATCATACTACAACATGGATGAGCCTTAAAAACATATTAATGAAAGAAAGCAGACTCAAAAGGCCATACAGTATAATTCTATTTATATGAAATATCCAGAAGAGGCAAATCCATTGAGACCAAAAGCAGATTAGGAGATGCCAAGGGCCTGGGGTATGGGAAAATGCCTAATGGGTACAGGGATTCCTTTTGGGGTGAGGAAGATGTTCCAGAACTAGATAGTGATAACAGTCATGCAACACTGTAAATACACTGAATGCCATTGAACTGTACACTTTAAAATGGTTAGAATGGTGAGGTTTAGGTTACTACAATAAAGTAAAATTGTCACTTACATATATTTTAAAAAGGACCCCTGACTGGTTTACACTGTTAGAATGCCTGACCTTTATATCATACCTATTAGTAGTATGTCAGAAAATCATATGCTGAAGCCAAATTCATGGCTCCCGTGGTTACCATTTGTTTACAAGGGAGCTGCTGTGAAGTTTTAGGTGGAAATTGTGTGGAATTTTGTGGTAACTCCATAAATAACTCATAACAGTCTTTCTTTCTAAAAAAAAAAAAATATATATATATATATATATATTGGACAAACGAAGCTTCTCTATTTCAATCCAAAATAAATGTGAAATGTAGAAGAGTTTGCAGTCAGGCATCACTGGATTAACTACACTGAATCCACACACTGTACACCTAAAAAACGTTAAATTTGTTTTCCAGTTTTGAAATTTTCCCTATTTCAATTCTCTATGGCTCCTGAACTCTGCTACCTCTCAAGGGAGCTACTGAGCAGAAGCAGTCAATGCACCAGCACGGTTCCCTCTGGCGCTGATGGCCCCAGTGAAGGCTGGAGATGAACCAGGGCCATTAGGAACGCACTTCTGAACCAAGGTATGGTGAGCCAAATCTTCTGACTACTACGTCCAGTATAGGGAGTTTCTTGGTCCTGTCTCTGCTGGACCCGTTTTTCCTTTTAAATGCTATTTTCAAACCATTCCCCAACAAGTTAAACAAATGGAACTACCTGTGGCTTCTCTTTTTACAGTGTGGTCTTATTGGCTGTATCCCTTAATTTACACATATTGCAGAAGTGTGATTTATGGCGTCCTCAAGCATGGTTAGAGAAAGGCAAATATCATGACCACAACTCAAATATTTTTAACTTAGAAAACTGAGAATACTTTGCTCTCTATTTTAAACCTGAATGCTTTTTATGAAAGATTAAAAAAATGCATGTCTTACACACACATTCATTCATTTCATTCAAATTCTATTCTGTCAAGAGAGATTTGCACTAGACAAGGCATTGGAAGGCTCGTTTTCTGCTTTGCTACCCTTACTGTCTGGGAGGCATGCTGTAAGCCTAGAATGCTTTGTACTTGGATTTGAAACTGGGACTCCCATGACAGTTACATGGAAGTAACTCCACTGAAGTGTAAAATAAGGTCTTTTCATTCTAAAGGCTCACCCTCTCAAATGAACACAGACCTGAGCAATATAATGGTTAGAATATTTTGACACAGTTCTTGCTGGTACTGATCAGAGACAGTAACTTTTTTCCTGTTTAAGAAAGAAGGACCTGATCCCTGCTTCCGCAAGCTGGCTGATGTCTGTGAGCACCAACGAGCCCACAACAGGACCAGACCGGGCCCTACCACCTGGGCAGGAAGAACAAAAACCCTGGGAAGGAAGTGAGGATGGAGAAGGAGAGCAGGCTGGAGGTTCAGGATGCTCTAAACATCTCCTGAGATCCTCTTCCTCACTGCCACCATCCTTATAATCATCCTGATTAGGAAAGTGACACATGTGAAAAACTAGGAAAACAGAAAAAGAGACACAAAGAAGAAAGAAAAATATCTCTTAAATAATTCCTCCACCTAAAAATAACCACCGTGAACACTTGGTGTATATATCCCTTTTTTCCTTGCATATAGCTATATGTAAATATATTTTAGACAAAACTGGGCTTGCATTCTGTACATGGTGGTTTGTAAACTGCCTTTTCCCCTTTTTTTTAAATTTAATTTTATTATGTTATGTTAATCACCATACATTACATCATTAGTTTTGGATGTAGTGTTCCATGATTCATTGTTTGCGTATAACACCCAGTGCTCCATGCAGTACATGCCCTCTTTAATACCCATCACCAGGCTAACCCATCCCCCCACTCCCCTCCCCTCTAGAACCCTCAGTTTGTTTCTCAGAGTCCATAGTCTCTCATGGTTCGTCTCCCCCTCCGATTTCCCCCGCCTTCATTTTTCCCTTCCTGCTATCTTCTTCTTCTTTTTTTTTTTAACATATAATGTATTATTTGTTTCAAAGGTACAGGTCTGTGTAAACTGCTTTTCACTGGATACATTCTTAATATTTCCAGCTTCTTCTTACATTAAGGGAGCCAATCACCACTTAAAGTATAGTCAGGGCTATAATAATAGACATTGTTGTTCTGACAACTGCTTTGGCATTTTGGAATCCAAGTCTTTGGGATCTACAAATTGCACACAACTGTGGAAATTATGTAGGAAACTACAAATTTATTCCAAAATTACATGGAAAAGCCACTTTTGAAAATGTCTTATTCTAATAGTATTCACAGTCTTAATTTTCCTAAATTTTTAAAACTAGGCAATAATATCATAAATATTCAGCACCAGGATTAACAAACCGAGTCATGAGTCATATATTTATATACTTTTTGGTGATGTTGATAAAGTTGGTCACTAAAACCCATTACAAACCTTTCTATAAACAAACATAGACTTGATTATTTTATGAATTTTTTTTTTAAAGATTTATTTATTTTTGAGAGAGAGAGAAAGAGTACATGAGAGGGGGGAGGGTCACAGGGAGAAGCAGGCTCCTCGCTGAGCAGGGAGCCTGATGCGGCACTCGATCCCAGGACTCCGGGATCATGACCTGAGCCAAAGGCAGTTGCTTAACCAACTGAGCCACCCAGGTGCCCCTATTTTATGAATTTTTAAAGAAATTATTTTAAAAAGTAGAAACGAGAGGTTAAGTCTTAATTACAGCTTTTCACTTGTTCTCCTCTACCACTTGGTGAAATAAGCCAAATGGGCAGAAATGAGTTCAGATGAAGGCACGATACCATTGAGCACTCTGCACTATTTAGAGTAGCTGATGAAACATTAAGTTGCTATAAACACTTTTTTGCTATACGGTTAACATTTTTAGAAAAATTATTAATATTACATCAGCTCATAGCGGATTCCTAAATTTACCTGGCTCAATTGTTTTCTCCATCAGTAGATTTAGATTTGGTATGTCGAGACCGGAGTGGTTGGCCTGCTAAAAAAACAGGTCCTTAAGGAAGTGGGTAATTGATGGTTAGGCTTTCACCAAATTAATCTGTAATTCTGCATTCTTTTCAGTAAGACCACACGGAAATGATTCTCAACTAGGACTTTTCTTGTTCTGTATCCTTTTTTTTGGTGAACTGTCAAACTGGCTGTTGTATTTTGGACAGGGTGAGGGTGGAGCTTCTTGTTTTCATGGAAATAGCTATAGCAGCCAACTGCTAGGATCTGAGTGGCGGAGTAGTCCACTTGGGAACATTTTTGTCCCTGGCCAGGCCTGAGTTCCAGCATTCCTAAGAGGTGAGCCAAATGGCACAGACCACCCCATTCCCGACACAGTTTGGTGGGAAGTGGCATCATGGTCTTTGTTATGAAGGAAGTTAACAGGGAAAGGAAAGGGAGCTCGGCTCATTGCTGATACCTACGTTCATATCGGGCACATCTCTGGGAAGGGCAGGATCACAGAGACAAAGGTCTGCAGAACCTAGTATCTTAGAACTAGACTACTGACTTGAATGTAACTCTTGCATTTTACAAGTGAGGAAACAGATCCAGATGGATTTGCCCAAAGTCACTGGTGGCAACTAAGCCAGAAAGAAGACCCAGGTCTCTTGGCTTCCATCCAACACTTTCCCACCACACCATCCTGCTTGTCCACAGCAGAAAAAAACGTGAAATGGTATCTCATTCAGTTCCTTGAATTTACCAGCAAGCTAATGAAAATAATCTGGCAAAGACATTTTTAGCAGTGTGTTCCACATTTTCTGCACCTTATGGAAGGTGCTTTTTTTGGGGGAAAAAACTATTAATACAGAACTGTGAAAAAAAACCTCTAGGACTCAACTGTTACTTTTTCTAAATAACAAAATATTGTATTTGGCAAGTGAACAATTCAGTTCATACTTTGGTGGTGGAAACACAGTTAGGGTACAGGATAGGCCAAGTTCATACACATACAAGTAAACAAGTGGTCAGCTATTTTTAAATGCACCTACTCTGTCCAATGATTAGATGATCCAAATTCTGAGGACAGAAGTAGGTTATTTCCATTTGGCCACCCACTGAATACTTCCATAATACTGCATTTTTGAACAAAATTATATGAAGCTTGTTCTCATCTAGGATGATATATTAGAATTCCATGGGAGCTGAAGGACATGACACACAGACTTCTACAATGTCTTGGGTCAGAGGGGTCTTGAGAGGGTCTATCATTTCTACTGAGTAGGCATCTTCCAGTACCACAGCAATTCTGACATAGAGCAGAGTACAACAAAACATATCAGACTCATTCCCACTATGTGCTCTACCAAAATCTAAAACTTTTGCCATACTTGCCTTCAGATTTTTAAAAAAATAAAACACTACAGATATAATTGGAGGCTGTTGGTCACCTCTTCATGACACCATCCTCCTCCCTACCCCTCCCGCTGAGGTGACTGCTATCTTGAATTTGGTATTTACCATCCCCATACAGGTTATTAGATTATAACTGTGTAAGTCTGAATCCATATATAGTGCTGTTTTGCAGGTTTTCAAACTTTAAATAAATAACATCTTTTTAACGTTTGTTTATTCCACTCAATGTTTGGGATTTACCCACACTGATCTATATAACCCAATTAATTTTAACCCATTACTGTATGCTACTGTACGAATATAACAATTTATTTTCCCCATCTCCTGTTGATGCCCATCTGTGTTTTTTTCTCATTTTACACCATTCTAAACAATGTTGTGATAAACATTTTTGTACATGATTCCTTATGCACATGTACAAGAGTGTCTCTAAACACTGAGGGCACGCCTGGATGGTTCAGTCGGTTAAGGGTCCAACTCTTGATCTCAGCTCAGGTCTTTTTTTTTTTTTGAAGATTTTATTTATTTATTTGACAGAGAGAGACATAGTGAGAGAGGGAACACAAGCAGGGGGAGTGGAAGAGGGAGAAGCAGGCCTCCCGCTGAGCAGGGAGCCCGATGCGGGGCTGGATCCCAGGACCCTGGGATCATGACCTGAGCTGAAGACAGACACTTAATGACTAAACCACCCAGGCACCCCTCAGCTCAGGTCTTTATCTCAGGGTCACGAGTTCAAGCCCTGCATTGGGCTCCATGCTGGGTGTGGAGCCTACTTAAAAAAAAAAATTGCTGAGAAATGAGATTTCATGATTGAAGGATATGTGTACGTTCAGTTCTTTATTTCACTAAATTGCTCTTCAAAAGTGGTTGTATCAACTTACAGTGTATAGACAGCTTCCATTGCCCTCCAACCTTACCAATGTTTGATTTGTCAGACTTAAACATTTTACCGTTACGAAGAATGTAAAATGATACTTCCTTGATATTTCATGGCCATTTCCAATGTTACCTAGTAAGATGATAATGTTCACCTATTTATTGACCAGTCAGGTTCCCTCATCTGTAAATGACCAACTTGTGTCCTTCGCCCATTTTTCTATTGAATTCTTTCTCTAAATGATTTGTCAGTTATATGTATCACATTCTATCCTGTCTTTTCACTTTGCTTATTCGATCTTTTCGAACAGAAGTTCTAAATTTTGATGTAGTTAACTAAATACTTCCAATTATGTTTTGTGGCCACAGCTAATTTTAGGCCATTGTTCTACCACAGAAATTTTAGAATCAGCTTGTCAAGTTCCAGGAGAAGTCCTGTTGGGATTTTGAACATCACTGAATGGAATTTATAAATTAGTTTGGTATTTGAATTGCTCTAGTGGCTCTTTGGACAATAAAGACCTGGTGGCTGAAAGATGGACTAAATTTTTTTGTTTTTATTAACCTCTCAAAGCAACAATTACATACCTTATAAACTGCCATGTCTCTCCCATTTACAGATTTATAAACTCAGTCACTCAACAGACATTATAAAGACCCCCCAAAAGCTTGGAACTCTCCTGACTCTTAATTCTATTCCAGATATCTCTCCTAAGAAAATAACCCTAAATATGGGGGAAAAAAAAAACAAAACAAAACCTAGCTGGATATAGAAAATGCTCATGGCAGCATTCCTCACAGTAGGAAAAAATGGAAATAACCTAAATATAAAAAACAGAGAAGTGTTTAAGTAAACTTGAGTAAACAAACCCAATGATGAACTATGCCAATAAAATTCCTGGCTCTAAAATCCATATATAACAACAATGAATTAGTGTTCACTTCTGGCAAAGCATTAAGTGATAAAATTAAGATATCAATTTTGTGTACCATGTGAATACAGCTGCAGAAAAAAACCTTCAAATATGTGCACGGGAAAATAAAATTTACTAAAATCTTTACAACAGTTTGGTTAGAAGTAGGGATTACAGATGATTTCTCCTACCCTGCTTAAAAAGATATACTGTCTAAAGTTACTAGGAGGCGATTTTGTTACTCTTACATCAAAGAAAAAAATATGAGGAAGAGCCCAGTGTTATGGGGAGCTAGTTTCCATTTATAGCAAAATGCATTTAAGAAATATTTCTTTTTTTTTTTT